TTCTGATTTGATAGCACACAAGAACCACCACAACTGTTGTTGTTGTTGTTGTTATGTCCTGTCAAGTCACTTGCAACTTACAGTGACCCTATGTACAACTGCCCTAAATTCTGCTCTGTCCTGTGCCAATCGCATTGTCTCCAACACATCCATCCTGAGTACCCCCCCCCCAGTCACCAAATCAATCCACCTCCTAGAAGGCCTTCTCCTCCTGCGCCTGCCCTCTATCCTCCCAAGCATGATGTCCTTCAAGTACAAGTCTCTCCTTACAACATGACCAAAATATGTCAGAGGAAGCCTCAGAATCCTTGCCTCCTGGGAGCCGCCTGGATTAACCCTTTCCAGGATGAATCTGTTTGTTTTCTTAGCAGTCCATGGTACCCTCAATACTCTTCTCCAGCACCACAACTCAAAGACATCAATTCTCCTTCTATCCTCCCTAGCCATTGTCCAACTCTCTGATGCATAACAAGTGATTGCGAAGACCATGGCCTATATCAGACGCACCTTAGTCTCAAGAGAGACACCATTGCTCTTCAGTACGTTGGAGAGGTCCCTAACATCAGACTTTCCCATGGCAATATGTTTTCTAATTTCCTGGCTGCTGGTGCCAAGACTGTTGACTGTGGGGCCAAGCAGACTAAAGCTGTGAACAATCTCAATCTCTTCAGTATCCATCCTGATGCTGCCAATTGGTCCAGTGGTGAGAATCTTTGTCTTCTTGACATTGACCCTCAATCCATGTTGAAGGCTGCAGACCTTAACCCTCTGGAGCAAGCGCTTCAGGTCCTCCTCAGTTTTAGCAAGCAGGGTTATGTCATCTGCATAATGCAGATTGTTGATGAATCTTCCACCAATCCTGACACCACACTTCTCCTCATAGAGCCAGCCTCCCAAATAATCTGTTCTGCATACAGGTGAAAAGGTATGGAGACAGGACACATCCCTGGCATATGCCCTTCCCAATTTTTAACCATCCAGTGTTTCCGTGCTCTGTTCTGACGGACGACTGCTTCTTGGTCCAAGTATAGGTTTCGCATTAGCATGATCAAGTGTTCAGGGATTCCCATTCTTCTCAGAGTCAGCCACTGTTTGTTATGATCCACACAGTCAAACACTTTTGCATAATCAATGAAGCACAGATATTCCCTGCTTTCAGTTAAGATCCATCTAACATCAGCTACAATATCTCTAGTACCACAACCCCTTCTAAACCCAGGCAGGACTTCTGGCAGTTTTCTACTGATGTGCTGTTCCAGTCGTTTTTGGATAATCTTCAGCAGAATCTTGCTTGCATGTGAAATAAATGATATTGTTCTATAGTTTCCACACACTGTTGCGTTACCTTTCTTTGGAATGAGAACAAATGTAGATTTCTTCCAGTCAGTTGGCCAAATGGTTGTCCTCCAAATTTCTTGACACAACTTGGTAAGCACGTCCAGGGCAGTATCTGTTAGCTAAAATATGTCACTTGGTATACCGTCTATTCCTGGGGCCTCATTTTTTGCCATTTCCTTCAAAGCAGCTTGAATTTCTTTATTTCCTTACCATAGGCTCTTGCTCATTTGTTGTTTCATTAAATTCTTCTGTGTCTGCTAATTCCTTTCAATACTCAGTACATTCTTTCCATCTTCTTTCAACACTTCCTGGATCATTTAATATTCTGCCTAAAGCATCCTTGATTATAGGAACTCGAGGTTTGAATTAGTAGTTCAGTTAGTTCCTTGATCTTTAGAAATGCTGAGCAAGTTTGGCCTTTTTGATTTTCTGACTCCAGCTCCTTGCACATTTCATTGTAATATTTTACTTTGTCATCCTGCACTGCCTTTTGAAATCTTCTGTTCAGCTCTTTAGTATCTTGAATTCTTCCTTGTGCTTTGGCTTCTCTGCGCTCCAGTGGAATATTCAGAGTTTCTTCTGACATCCATTTTGGTCTCTCCTCCTCTGTCTTTGTAATGAATGTATGCACTCTTCTTGGATAATGTCCTTGATATCCTCCCACAACTCATCTGGTCTTTGCTCATTCATGTTCAAGGCCTCAAACCTGTTCCTGAGATGGTTCTGAAATTCAGGTGGGATAGACTCAAAGTGATATTTTGGTTCCCGTGGATTCGGTGTAATTTTCCTCCGCTTCAGTTTGAACTTGCATATGAGTAGTTGGTGGTCTGTTCCATAATCAGCTCCTAGACTAGTTTTCACAGCTAATATTGAGCTTCTTCAGCGGTTCTTTCCACAGATGTAATCAATATGATCCCTATGCATACCATCAGGTGAGATCCAAGGCTGCACAGGACACTTACTGCAGAAAGTAAGCTTCACAGGTGGAAAGCAAGACAGCACAACAGAGCTGAAAATCCGCCACCACTACTATACTTGGAAGATGAATAAGGAAGACTGAAGAAAAATTGATGTCTTTGATTTGTGGTGGTATTGAAGAGTGTTGAATATTCCATGGACTGCCAAAGGAACAAACATCCCTGTGTTAGAAGATGTGCAGCTATAACATTCTTCAGAGGGAAAGATGATGAGACTTTATCTCCCATACATGGGCATGCTGTCAGGAGAGGGCAGTTGCTGACAGTATCATTCTTCAAAAGGTAGAGAGTGAGTGAGAGAGAGAGACCCTCAACAAGATAGACTGACATGGTAACTCTAACAGTGGATCTGAGCATACCAGAATATGGCACTGGACCAGGAAATGTTTAGATTGTTGTTGTAAAATCCGATGCTATAAGTCAGAGTCAATGTAATGGTACCTAACAACAACAAACTGTAGCCAACGAATGCATCCTTAATATATCTTAATTTAATTACAAATAGCCACATGTAGCTAGTAAACTAGATAGTGCAGTCCATTATCTAAAGACACATAAATGAGCCATGTTATTATTGTTACATGCCATTGAGTTGCTTGCTAATCATAGTGACCCTATGTACCTATGAACCCTGCTCTATCCTGTGCTAACGTTATTGTCTCTGACACACCTATCCACATTACCCCAGTCACTGAGTCAATCTATTTCATCGAGGGTCCTTCTGTCTTGCACTGTCTCTTCACCCTCCCAAGCATGATGTTCCTCTCTAAGGACTGGTCCCTTCTTGCAACATTCCCTAAGTATGTCAGATGAAGTTTCAAGTGAACCATACAGTCTAAAAAAAGTGGGGTAAAATTATGTATTTTTTAAAAAAAGTTTTCTTTTTGGAGTGAGCAGGTTCCTTTCTGTTTTATTCCTAGAAATATACTTGCAAAAGAAAATAGCATTTTTTAATTTAAAAAATCACAATACACTGGAGAACAAAACAAAATTTCATTTGACTCACTTCTGATCTGACTTGTTAGGATTTACATCAACAAGTCCACTGATTACATTTTGATTAGCACACTTAGATCGGTCCTACACCCTTTATTTCTAAGCACTATGACTAATCACCACTGATCCAGACCACTTCACCCTGCTTCACATCCTTTGTCATGCTTGCCTAATGAATAAGTACACTGTGATTTAATGATTTACATCATCTTGCTAACATTCAGAGGTTACTTTAACTTAAAAAGAAAAAAACCAAATCATTATATGAAATATAATATGAAGAATAGTGTGAAACACGATGTATACAAACTTTGTAAACAAATGAATAAAAAAAAAGAAAAACAAAACTCTTTGATTGCTACCACAACCCAGAAAGGAGCAGGCAGTGTTTTTTTTTATTCTTTTTTATTAATTTTAATGAAAGTTTACAGAGACTTTGGATTTCCATTCATTCATTGTTTTACTTTTATCCCTGCACAAACCCCCCTCCTTTCGCTCTTCTCTTTGAAATGTAAAGGAAAAACTCTTTCATTGTTAAACATTCCCTCCCCCTCTCCACCATGCAGCCTTCCTTTTGAAAAGTAAAAGAAAAATTATTTCATTGTTATACAATCCCTCTCCCCAAGGCAGTGTTTTCTTAAGGCCCAGACCCAACAAGTCAGTCCTGTAACAGGATATCTGTGTCCTCACTATATACCTCGACACACTCATGTACTTGGAGGAGTGCTGACTTCTACCAAGAGACTAAAATTTCCATAGCCATTTAGTTAGTTCTGGCAAGCCTACATCAGGTCCTGAAGCTGTACATCTTTATGAAGAGACTGCCCATAATTTTCCTATGGAGCTGCTGGTGGATTCAAACTGCTAACCTTTTGGTTAATAACCTGGCATGTTATACAATCTACCACCAAGGCTCCTTATCAAAAGTCAAAGAGGGTAAGACATTCTAGTTCACAGCTTGGAGAAGATCACATGATAGAGGTGGCTGTTAACCTGAAAAGGTAAAGGCATTCATACCATGACTTTTAGAAACTGATTTTTGTTTTAAGAAATTAGGTACAATACATAAGGAAAGAGGGTTACAGACATGACCCTCTGAAGACAGCAGTGCTTAGAAGGAGTACAAACATTTCCAAATCAGATTGCCAAGACTTAAATAGTAATCATGTGCTTTCTTTGATTTTTCAGGACAATTTTACACTAGTTGAAGCAAACAGGAGATTTCTCTAAGTGTTACAAAGATCATATACTTTATTTTCCTAAAATGTAAAGGTACAAAAGTAAAATTTATTCTCTTTGTAATGAAAAATATTTGATAAAACATTGTTTCTACTTCCAAGTCATCTAGGAAGGCATGTTTTACCAAGTTTCTCACCTTCCCATAATACCCTGAGAGAACATAGAGTAGGGATGAATATAACTTCCAAAAAAAGGAAGCAAAATTTTCACACAGAATGAGTGCCACCCATATATGATTGTACCTTTTATGGGTTACAATTCTGGATTTTCCAGCAGAAAGAAGAAAAATTTTGACCTGGATTGATATCACACTAGCAACAGTAGAGGTTAAAGGACTGCTCCTGGGACATCTAGGAAAAAGGCAACTTCAGAGCTTCATTCTGAGATAGAAAGGTATGAGCTTGGACACTTGGTGTTAGTTAAAAGACTCACAGGTTGAGTTATATCCTTCTAACATTTTGGTTGTTTATACTTCTCGTAGGCATTCAGTATCTCCGTGATGACACTGGGGTCCTCCAGTGTGGTGGTATCGCCCAGGTCCTGAGAGCTGCTGGTGACTATCTTCCGCAGAAGCCGCCTCATGACTTTTCCAGACCGTGTTTTGGGGAGACGTTTCACAACCTGGCAAGAAATAAATGAACCATTAATGTTTGGAAGCTATAAGATTAGCACTGAATACTGACTGATTGATGAGAATACCTCTTTCGTGAAAAATTATAATGGCCAATGAATTTGTCCAGCCTTTTCCTCTTACAATCTACACCTAAAGCAGACATAACCTTCAAGGCAGGATGAACAACTCTTAGGATGTCGATCAAGTCTGAGTTCACAGAAGTTCTCAACATCCAGAGTTTCCTCACTGTTGATACTTCTGATTATTGTGTCAAAGAAAATTTTCCTATAGCAGCACATCCATACTAAAGGAATGACATCTCATCTTCACCCTTGGTCTGGAACGTAACTCCTCTTGTGTCACATTAGAGATGAGAACTACTTTAAGAGGAAACATTTATCTTAGTGTTCAAACATTTAATTTTTACTATTTTTCAAACAACAACAGTCATTCATTGTCTATGATGATACATACAAAGCTATACATGAGATCTTTACTAATAAGGCTGTGTTTATAAATAACTTGGTGCATTTAATTCAGAGTATCCTTGATTCTGGTCAGCAAGCCAATAGTAAGAACATTTAAAATGCCTAGTTACTGAAACAATGAAGACAAGTAGCTCCACATCTGAAGTGAAGCTGGTACTTCTGCCTCAGATTATTATGACAAAGCTATTAGTAGAGGGGGGGTTGCTAATAAAAGAGAGAACAAAAAGTATAGAAAAAATCAACAGGTGACCCATTTGTCCCCCAAAAGAGACTCAAACACAAATACCTTCAATGGGTTGTGACTATACTTCTCGTGCTGGCACAAAAAAAGGTATGGGGAAAGAAACTGTTCAGAGGACACAGACAGGCTGAATAATTCTAACACCATCTACATACTTCTTAAATGAAAACTTTATGAACACTAAAAGAATGAGGTAGAGCCCAGATGGGAAGTTAGTTGAAATAAGGGGGGGAAAATGCACACCCATGTTTATTGTTGCGTTGTTCACAATAGCAAAGAGATGGACACAACCCAAGTGCCCATAAACAAATGAATGGATAGAGAAGCTGTGCTATATTCAGACAACACAATACTGAAAAAACAAGGAACTAATACAATATTATACAAAATGGGTGACTCTGGAGGACATTATGCTGGGTGAATAACAGTCACAAAAGAACAAATACTGCATAATGCTATTGTTATAAAATAGGACTGACATGAGGGTTGGGGGGAAACTAAGAAAAGGGGATAAATAATGAACACTGCATTTAAATAGATGAAGAAAAGGATTGTCTAACCAAATTACACGATTAGGTATTTTCACGACAACAGTACAGAATAAGAGGTGCATAGCAAAGTGGACTAGGGGTGGGGAGAGATAGGAAATTGTACAATAGTAAAAGAATCTTCTAAAGAGAAAAGCAAACTGGGGGGGGGTAGGGAGGAAAATGTGCAACAATTAATGAATGTAAATCAAAGTTTTCTGTAAACTCATTATAATGGTAATAAAATAATAATAAAAATATGAGATAAAACAATAACAAACATGGTTTAAAAATTGGAACACAGAACATAACTTGAATGTTGGAAAACTGGAAATGGAATGGTTAAAAATGAAATGGAACATATGAACATCGACTGGCCATTAGTGAGATGAGGTAGACCAGCTTTTGCCACTTTGAATCAGATAATCATATGGATTGTTATGTAGAGAATGAAAAACAGAGGAAGAATGGTGTTACATTCACAGTCAGAAAGTCAATTTCAAGTTCTATCCTTATAAAATGCTGTGAGTGATAATATCCATACACATACAGAAAAGACCAGTTAACACAACTATTATTCAAATTTATGCTCCTACATCTAGAGTCAAAGGAGGAATTGAGAATATTTACCAAATATTGCAATCTGAAATTGACTGAACATGCAATGAAGTACATTAATGACAATTGGTGATAGGAATGCAAAAGTGGGAAACAACGAACAGATAGTTGGAAAATATGGACTTGGTGACAGAAATGAGGTTAGAGATAGAATGATTGAATTTTGTGTTTACAATGATTTATTCATTGCAAATATTTTTTTTAAAAAAAGATACAAATGATTTTACACATGGATCCCAACTGCTGGTCTGCATAGGAATGAGATTGACTACATTTGTGGAAAAAATGTTGGAAAAGCTCAATATTGCCAGTCAAAACAAAGCCAAGATTACAGAAAAGCTAGGAACAACACTAGAAGTCCTAATCCACAATATAAACAGTCTTCCCAGTATCCTGGAAAACCTACAACCAGGAGAAGATAACGTAGATGAATGGGATCTCCTAAGACTCAAATCCCTATGCACATCCAAAAACTTCTCCA